TTTTCTACCAAAGAAGAACAAAGATTTTGCTAGATTTCAGTTCGGAAATCTTAAGCAAAACCACGGTTAATCGCTTGTTCGATACTATACACGCATCAGGGAAATAGCAAAGAAATGCAGTTTCTCAAACGAGAGCGAAGCTATTCGAGACCACTTAATAAAAACAATGACGAACAATGTCGTACGCATCAAAGCAATACGCAAGATTTGGACGCTCGACCAAATTCTAGAAGAAGCTTAGTTGGACGAGGAAACCCGAACACAAGCTAAAGAGATGGACAAGAAAGTAAATTCAGACGAAACAATCAAACGAGTCCAAAATTATCGACAACAACGACAACGACCTTCGTCTCAGATTTTCCGTGAACAAAGCACATCATCGACCCGTGAAAAAACAACAAATCCTTGCAACCGTTGTGGATATGACCGAGCTCACAAAAATGTCCAGCAATGGGTTCGCTTTGCAATGCATGTGGCAAACGTAACCACTACGCCAAAGTATGTCGATCGAAGCCCGCAGAAAGATTTTCAAATAGCAGACGAGAACGACAATTCGAAGGCAAAGACACAAGAGACACACAACAATCAACATCGGAAGAAAGAAATCGGAGAGGCAGGAAAATGCCAGAAAATATAAATGTCAAGCATGTTACCTACAATAGAGATCGAAGTCCGAGTACCGAAAGCAGCACATCAAATGATAGCGACTTGGTAAACCACTTAAAGATACACAGGACGTCAGGGGATGAAACGACTTTATCCTGTGTTGTTTACATAAATGGTCATAAAACACTTGTTGAACCAGACACAGGTGCAGACTCTAACATTATGGATGAAATACAACTTCAAGAGCTGAAAACCAAGTCACCAGAGATACAACTATACGAGTCGAAAGTAAAGCTAAATACGCTGAAAGAGAAGCTACCAGTCAAAGGCGAATGCATTGTGACCATTGAAAACGAGACACGCATAACACAAGCACCAATGGTCATCATTAAAGGGAAAATCAACTCTTTACCTTTAATTGGACGAACAACCCTAGAAGAATTGGGCATGGTGAAGATTGATGAAACAGGACGACTTAAAGAACCGAACAAACCCAGTGGTACTTGCAATATTCGGAAACTACAAGAAACACAGTCCAGTGTTAACGATCTACTCAAATCATATCAAGATCTATTTCATGGAATTGGCAGAGCGACCCGCAATGGAGAGGAGATTCAGCTACATTTACCAATGGATGAAGAGGCTGAACCAATTGCACAAAAACCAAGACGAGTTGCATACCACCTAATGGAACCTCTCCAGAAACGACTCCAAGAATTTGTGGAACAAGACATCATGGAGAAAGTTCCTGATCAAGAACCTATAACATGGTGTTCTCCCATAGTTGTACAACCTAAACCAAAGAATTCCAATGATATACGCCTCAGCTTGGATTTGCGAACACTGAATAAATCCATGTTACGAACTCGCCTACCACCAGTTTGTCATTGATCCCCAGTCCAGACAAGCCATGACGTTTTCAACGCCATGGGGAAATTACCGATACAAACGTCTTGCGTTCGGGGGAGTCAACAGTCAAGACCTATTCGATAGCGAGATGGCAAAGATCCTATCGGGTATTCCCAGAACACTGAACAATCGTGATGATATTATGATTGGAGGTGTAGATCTTGCTGACCACGACAAGAACCTGAAGATAGTGCTGGGACGACTAAAGGACTACAACCTTACGTTAAGACAAGAGAAATGTGAATTCCGAAAGTCAACACTTGAATTCCATGGCCACTTATTCACTGCAGAAGGATTGAAGCCGAGTGCCAGCAAGGTCCATGCCGTCAACGCCTTCCAGAAACCCAACACCAAAGAAGAATTGGTATCATTTTTACAGATGGTTGTATACCTTTCTCGGTACATCGATCAATTCTCAGGTAGATGCGAGCCTCTAAGAAGACTGACCAAAGCCAACACCAAGTTCGAGTGGGGTCCAGAGCAACAAAGAGCATTTGACGACCTGAAAACAGCGCTAACAACAGCACCAGTTCTCATTCCATATCAACCAGGAAGAGAAACCTTAGTCATCGTCGATGGTAGTCCAGAGGGCCTCGGTGGAGCCGTACTCCAAAAGACAGCAGATGGATTTCAACCTGTCCATTACGTCAGCCGAACACTGACCGATACAGAGAAACGCTATTCACAAATCGAAAGAGAGGCATTAGCAGCTGAATTTTCCACAAATCGACTGCAGATTTACTTACTCGGAGCACCAAAATTTAAGCTAGCGACTGACCACAAACCATTACTGCCGCTTCTCAACAACCCCAAAGCGAAAATTCCACCACGAATTGAAAGAATTATAATCAAGATGCAGAACCTGGATTTTGAAGCTATCCACATACCAGGAAAGAGCAACATGACCGACTATTTATCACAACACCCTCTTCCAGAAACTGGCAAAGACCATATTGAGAAACATGTCAACGCAGCGATTCAAGCAGATCACGCCATAGTCTGGTCGAAAATCAAGAAAGCCACGGCAGAAGACAAGGAATTGTGCGAACTGACCGAAACGATTGAAACCGGAAATTGGAGTGAAGCAAAGCAGTTCTTGAAACCCTACTACGAAGTCAGAGATGAACTCTTTGTCGCGGATGGATTGATCATGCGAATGGACCGTATTGTACCACCCCAGTCCCTGAGACAGAGAATCATCCAGTCAGCCCACAAGCAAGGACATCTCGGAGTGAATAAGACGAAAGAAATGATCCGAAGAAAGTACTGGTTTCCTGGAATGAATACCAGAATAACAGATACGGTACAAACATGTTTCGACTGCCAGATTGCTACAGATCACCACCATACCGAGCCAGCAAAGATGACAGAGTTACCAGACCGACCATGGGATGTGGTAGAAGCTGATTTTTGTGGACCACTGCCCAACCACAAATATGCACTGGTACTTACCGACCAATATTCACGATATCCAGAAGTGGAGATGGTAACATCTACATCCACAATACCAGTGACAAAGAAGTTGAAGATGATTTTTTCTACCCATGGAATACCTCGAATACTACAATCTGATAACGGTCCACCATTCAATGGTGAACAATTCCAAACCTTTGCTGAAGAAATGGGATTTCACCACAAGCGAGTAACACCAATACATCCTAAGGCGCAGGGCCAAGTGGAAAATTTCAATAAGCTGATCAACAAAACAACAAAGATTGCCTGTGAAGAAGGAATCGAAATCGAGAGTGCAATATATGATATGTTACAAGCATACAGACGGACATCCCATCCGGCAACAAAGTCAACGCCGTACGAGGTTTTGATGCACCGTCAAGTTCGAACACGATTGGAACATTTTCTCACCGAAGTTTACATCACCCAAGATGAGGTCAAGATGAATGACAAAACGTACAAGCAGAAACGTAAGCAGTACCACGATAAACGTCACAGAGTGAAAACACATACAATCAAGTGCGGTGATGCCGTTTTGATAAAGAGAGAGAAGAAAAGGAAGAAGCATACACCGTACGAGCCGTACATATACGTTGTTACAAGCATAAAAGGATCAACCATCCGTGCGAGACGTGTAAAGGATGGAAAAGTTAAGTGCAGAGATGCATCGAAGGTTAAACCACTTAGAACAGCTCAATTGTCAAAAGCCAACGATGAAACGGCGAGTGTAAAAGTACCAAGCAGCTACGAAGCCACAACATCCAGGACGACATTTCAGGACACAGACAGCAGCAACATCCGGGACACAACAAGTGAGACTATAGACACAACAAGTTAGACAACAACTACAACAAGTGAGAACAATTTGCGAAGATCAGAAAGATTAAAGAAGAGCACGTATCAAGGGAAGTATAAAGACTATATAAAGTAGAACATTAACTAAATTAAAAAACCCAGTTAGTACATTGACTGAAAAAAATTATAATTATTTCTAGATGATTAGTGTTAGGACTCTAAAAAAAGACAACTAGATTATAAATTACAGTGACTATCGGAAAAGGAGGAATGTAACAACCAATCATAAACCTTACCGGAACTAATGTACAATTAATTATGCATGATATTAGCATGATATTAGCATGAGCATGTTTGTGTAAACTGAGAATATTTGTAGTATAGAATAAAACGTTAAGCGAAGAGCTGTCTTCCTTGAAGAACTATTATACTAGTATTTAAGTTACTACACTGGGGAAAAACATTCGTACAATGCATGGTCCCATGTATTTCACACTGACTGAAACCTTATGCCAGACAAGTTACAACCTTCCACTAGGAAATAGGCAAGCCATTGAAAAAGCTCTTGGAATGCTTAGTTAAGTACTAGCTAGTTTGGAGTAGTAAATGTAAATAGATTTTCCTATATACTGTAAAAAAATTGTACAATATACATTTTATTGTAGTCGCTTATTTATCTATTTTCTAAAGCTCAAACTTTGGAAGGACCTAATAGTAATAGTGATCTAGCAAACTTTGACATTTGTCTAGGCATTTAATATATGATCTAACATTTTTTAACATTAATTTAGGTATGTCATATCCATGATCTATTAATCCAAAACACTTTAATTTATGCTGATTTTGGTATTTCATATCAATGACAAAAAGCTTTCGTTACTTAAAATACTCTCTACCACTGGTCCACGTTTTCATCAATACACCAACATATCCACTAAATTACATATTTTCGATAATAACATCACGAGTACGTTATTGGCCTGGGAGCTTCATTCTCATGAATCGTGAGCCAATCGCCTTCCGTCTTGATTGACGAGAGCAAGGCTCCCAGACCAAGAATGTATTTATGACGTATTGTCGAAAATGTTATTATAGCCCTATGTATGTCATATCGTTGATCTAACAACCTTCCAATGGTAATCTAGGCATGGCCAGAAGTTCAGGACATGCGCCCGCAATATATCTCAGCGGTTTTTCTTATGAAAAGTTATTCATACCAAACAAACGCAAGTTTTAAGTAAAAAAACACATTTTGCTTAGTTTTTTGTTTAGCTAAAGCAGGAAAATAGATATATTAGGAATTGTCGGCCTTTTACATACCTTTCATTTATTATGATGGGATATAAAGTGATGCGCATGGTAAACGACTCAAATATTTTGTGTATACATCGCTATCCCTCCGTGTAACCCACACTGGAAGAAAGCCTGGTTCCTAAGCTTCTTGTTGATATCAAACATGGACGACAATTCATGAAACATCGTTCTTCTTGCAATGTTTTACGGCCTATGGACAGGGTATTTATGTGTAAAATATCAACATTTTGTCCCGTAAATTGGAACAAGTAAAAAAATTCGTATCACTATGAAATTATGCAGACAAGCAGGGGACAACATATATTATACGACGCGAAGTCTGCAAATTTCATGAAGGGTTCGAGGGATACATGCGGCCAGAGCAAAATGTACGTTTTCAACGATTTTCTCAAGTTTTACTATACTTTATTATACGCCGATGTACTATGAAGTGAACTTGAATAATGGAACAACTTATAGGTAAGATTTCGATGCGAAACTTTTCTGTTCTACGGTCCAGATAGGGTTTATATTATTGCGAAGTCTGCAAATGACATAGCTATTATCAAACAAGTTTAAATTAAAAAAAACCGCGCCACTCCTAATGATTTATATATAACAAATCCGCCATTTTGTTTGTCAAAGTTCGCACATGCTCAGAATCCATGTCCGCAATTTCTGGCCATGCATGTCTGATCATGATTGTAGGGTCTGCCGCATCTCGTTCCCCGAGCATGCCCGTTCGCAGGTTAAGGGTGGGCATAGCTCTGGAGAAATCGAATTGATTCACGTTGAATTTCCAACGTGAGTTCTACGCATGCTCGGCAATGTTGCAAAATATAAATAAAGTATTTAGAATTTCGCGTCGAAAATTTCATACATTTTACACTGAAATCGAATTGAAAACAACTAAAAATTCTGGGGGAAATATGTACGAAAGCTTCGGTTGGATAGGGATACAGCTACTTTAAAAATACAAGGAGAACTCCGACGTTTCGAGCGAAGCTTCGATATGTGCTGTTAGTGTTTGTACACATCGTACTTGACCTTTGCTGATAAATATAATCTCCTCAATAATAAGTATTATATATTTTTATGCTTTAAATTTACATTTATATAACTCTCCTGTTAGAATTTATGGCATACGTAGTGTTAGGTATGACAGTATATAAAAGGTCAAGTACGATGTATACAAACACTAACAGCACAAGTCGAAGTAGCCTGCATGGCAGGCGGTTCCTAAAATTGGGCAAGCCTGGGAAATACCGCCTGCTGTGTCTGAGCCGCTGTCATTCAAAAGTGAATACACTAATAATATGTAAACATACGTTTGACACTTTAATGATGCATGCGTTCGCTTTAATTAATAGGTGTTGTAAAACTGAACGCTTCTCGAAAGTCGAAACGCGAACTGTTTGTCAAACGCGAGCAAGAGATAGCAGTTAAAGATTTACTCCTTGGAAATAATGTTTTGGCTATTCTATGGGAAAAGCTTGATTTTTACATCGTTCTTGTTGGCGCGAGAAAGTATAACGAAAATAGATACAGACAGCCGTATAGTCTTTCCTGCAACGGGTTTTATAACAGGACTATTACGCCTATGCCTATTAATAGCCGCTTCACTTTCTGAACTTTTTAAGGCTTTCGTTACCACACGGCTTCGTTAGGGAGACGAGACAGTTCATATTGGCAACTGAGGTTTTTAATGTACAACTGTCTATTTGTTCGAACGTACACAAGCAACGCGTTTATTTCTCGTTTGATTATGGCAATCAGTTCGCTTGCATTTCGGATATTTCGCTCACACGGTTTACAAACTTGGTCGGATAGTTCCGAGGTAGAATTAACTTCGATTCCTAAATGAACTGAACCGGCAATTCGGCTTATTTCGGCCAAGGTTTTACCACTGTCGTAACGTTTCTTTTGCTTGTCTTAAATAAATAATTTCTCCAACGATATATAAGAATATAAGATATTTTCTCAATTGGCGTATTGCCCCGTATTTTAATTTCAAAGCACACTTAAACAAACGACAAGTCATTTACATTTTCCGCGCTTGCTTTTCTACCTCTTGTCGACATATTTTTATACATTTGTAATTTTGCGACGCATTATCTTTGTCAGCATATGACTTCAGATTTCCAGAATGCAACAGATACATTCCATAAATCTTGGAGGCTTCCTTGGCATCTTAGGCAAATATATTACAATTTCCTTTGCATGAAACTTTGAACCAAGTACCGGTTGATTGCTACAATTACAAAAGAAAATGTTTTTATAAAAGCACATGTATATAAAATTATGTGCATATTATTCTACACGCATGAATTTGAATATATTTGCGCACAAAAATCAATACATTACTCGAAGCTTTATCTTTGCAAAATATTAAAAAAAGCTCACCTCGGATTTTCTATCAGAGATATATTTAATAAATCTTAAAGTTTCTTCCCCAAACATACGTTTCATGGCCAAAGCTGAATTCTTTGTATCTTGCGGCACCATTTGTCGGTTGTGAACAATACGAAATGATGCGCAAACCCACTTTCTTTAAAAAAAATGAAAGTTTTCCAGGCATTCGGCAATCGGACAAACAACTTTATTCGTCAGATACGCCTCGTGAAACGTCCTTGAAAATATTTCTTCCCTTTCTCGCTCTCCGATAACAGCGTCTGCCATCTTGAATTAGGATTTCCCAGTCGCTTCCCTCGCCGTCACATTCCCATCAATCAGCGCGCGTTGGGTAATTCAACGCGTGTCAGGTACGCGACTGGGGACGAGTCAGGTTCAGCTACCTGCCGTGTAAATATTACCCAATCTCCGTATCTCCACGTCTTCTACAATCAACACCCGCTTCCCCTTACTATTGATACTGGTGCCGAGACCAGCATGATAAAGGCTTCCCTTGCCCATTACATCGGGTGCCCAATATCCAAGAGTTCACAACTTGCGTTACAAGCTGACGGTCGTACTCCGCTCTCTATTGTCGGCGAAACCCTCCTGTCATTGTTCCGTAATGGCAAGACCCTTACCCTCGAGACTCTTGTTGTAGAAGACCTTGATGTTGATATCCTCGCCGGAACACCTTTCATGACCTGCAATGACATTGCTGTCCGACCCGCAAAGCATGAAATTATCATCGCTGGTTCTGACATTGTATCCTATTGGTCCTCCAATAGTTCTTTCAAATACCATATTGTCAGATATTGTTATGTATTGCGTGCACCTCCTACGAACACTACTATTTGGCCTGGTGGTTTCCTTGAGGTTGATATCCCCCTTGACTTCCCACCCGATACCCAACTTGCTGTTGAGCCCCGGGTCGATTTTACTTTGTGTCAATCAGTTAAGTCTTCCTATGCATGGCCCCAACCCGGTATTCTTGAGTCTGTCGGCAGAAAGCTTAGACTTGTCAATTGTTCCACCGAGCCGATCTTTATTAAAAAGAGCGACCACATATGCCAGGCTCCCGTCGTTACGAGCAGCTCCCCTCCATAAACGCAAGGGCCCAGCTCACAAGACCTTGGACCCCCACCACTCCACACTCCTGGATATCATTCAGAGCAAGTTTCCGTAGACCCTGACGGCATTTTCTCACCTGACGAGAAGTTCAAAACTCTCTCTCTCTCTCTTGAAGGAGTTTGATCGTGTATTCGACCCTTTCATAGGTAGGTAGGTAGGTAATACTTTATTTAAAATTAACAGAAAGACGAACACGCTAGCCCCATCAACTCTAGGCTGGTTTCCATGGGGGGCGTGTTTAGATCTTAAAAATCGTTAAAAGTAAAATTTAAACTAAATATTAGTACACACATACTGTACACGTTACTATATACAAATAATTAGGAAGCATGTCGCTGTCCAACAATTGATTTAAACGAATGAGGCGACTCGGCCAATTTTGCTTCGTTTGGGAGTTGATTCCAGAGCATGGCGCCGC